CTGCGTTCGTGTTCGAAACTTCGTGATCAAAAATAGCTCGAACGCGTGTATTCTATTCGAACGGAAATTTTCAGGGAGAGCCAAAGATTATTTATACAGTGAAAATTTATTTATCATTTATTAAATGATATTTACGTATCGCTGTTCATGATTTCACGGACGAACTATTCCAATATTGTCATACGTTGGTTCTACTGTTTCTGACAGATACTATTATAATTAGAAATTTTTTCTATTCCGAAATTTATTGGGTTGGCAACTAAGTAATTGCCGATTTCAGTTATAGATGTCTCTCACTCCCATTTTTATGATATCCGTAAATGTTATATTATAAAAGTATTATTATTATTATTATGTTATTTTTTTATTATCCGTGAATGTTAGTGTTGCGACGGCAACACCGAAGGTCGAACGTCCCTGGCCATCCCTTGAGCAATTAAGCGATACCTTCGACACTAAAAAATGCACCCAAACGAAAATACCCTTCGACCCGACGAACGGACAACACGACTCATAAATTCCATATTTCCCAAAACGGAAAATTTACAACCCGAACTTTCGAACAGTTTCCCACTCCTCATTTCAAGTTCCTTCCGACACACCCATCTCCAATCAAAAACGCTTCATTTCCTCCACCAAAACCCACCATACACCAATCAACAAGAAAACCGAGGTAATAAGCGGAAAGGCACCTAGAACGTTAGACAGAACTGTTAGAACTCCCAGAACTCGTAGAACTCTAAGAACGCAGATAAAACGCAAATAACGCATCGCTAAGACCATAGCTGTACTGTAATAATATTAAAATGTACATAAAAACAACCAGCGACTTCGTTCAACTTAATTCCATTTGGAAACAGCGCGCACATACAGTTAGCAACTGGACAAATTGAATGCAGCGGTCAAGGAAAAGCGACCAGAATTGGTCAATCGTAAAGGTGTCATTTTCCAGCAGGACAATGCTAGGCCGCACACGTCTTTGTCCACTCGGCAAAAATTGATGGATATTGGTTGGGAATTGATGTTACACCCACCATATAGCCCTGATCTCGCGCCATCGGATCACCACTTATTTCGATCTCTGGACAACTCCCTTCGTGGTAAAACTTTTAACGATGATAACGCTGTAAAATCTCACTTAACTCAGTTTTTGGCCGAAAAGGATCAGACTTTCTACGAGCGTGGAATTTTCAAGTTGTCAGAGAGATGGCAAAAGGTCATCGAACAAAATGGAAAATACATTACAGATTAAACTTCGTTCCAAGTAAAAAAAATTTGTTATTTCATTGAACAAATTGGCAATTACTTAGTTGCCAACCCAATATTTGCAAGCTTTATAGAACTAGTTTTAACCGTTTCTCGCATCTTTTCGTATCATTTTCCTACCATTTTCTCATAAGCTGTTTTTTACGTGCACATCCCAAGTTTTGCAAACGCTCAGAGTATAATGTTTACACAGTACTGCCACATCGTAATCGTAACGACGCCTGTTGAATTAACAATAATCTACGTCATATCTCGAATCAGAATATTTCGACGACATTCATTTATAAGAGCTCTCATTTGTATGAATATACTACCTAAAACACGCGGCTGCAGTTTCTCTTGTCGCAATTTTTATGCACGCCAGTTTAATTTAAATCCACGGCAGTTTTTTATCTGGCACAGGTTTTATTATGAAACAGGTTGCGCTTTATTCTTACGGAACATATAATTGCGTGGTTACCAACACCGTTTAAATTGAATTATGATAATAATCCTAATCAATTATTTGTCAATAAACTCGATGAACAAAAAGGTATCACGCAATTGTTCCGCAGTCTTGTAGAGAATTCTTGATAATTAGAAAAAAATAATGAAACATTCAATGATGCTTGGTAGCCCTTATATTTTCCAGGACACATCCGCAGAACTCTTCGAGCGTATAAAATTCACGGTTCGGTAGCCTTCGCGTGGGCAAAGCACTGATTTTGTCGAGAGTGGTCGCAATGCTTTCAGAAAAATATTTGCCCTTCAGAAAATGGTAGCCGTGTTAGAAGCAGTGTGAAATCGTAATGATCCCTTCCGTAAATATGGTCCTCATCTTGAAAGCTCTTGAAAGATCACGGCTTACACCTGGAAGCCCTGTCAGAGGAATTTGTACGATGCTGAACCGTGAGAGTCCCGAATCTCTGATTAGGTAGATCCACCCTTTCTTCAATATTTAAGGAAGATTCCCGTGTAGTTGGTTCGCCCGTCGAATTAAGTGGAAATATTTGTTCTAAGCAAGGATCGTTGCACTTCGGCGTATTGACTCAGCCGGATCCCTCGGCTCTTCTGATTTTGCTTTGCTAACGCCAGCGACTCGTCCTTGTCTATCCGACGATGCGTCGGGCCGAAAGCGTCTGGGATGATTATTTATTGGCCGACATACCGGCAGCTTTTCCGCCGTTACAACGTGATACGTCTACGCTCGCTATGATATTGCTGGCCATGGGTCTCCTGCTCGCTATAGCGTTATCTGACGGCAATACCAGGGCGATCGTAAACAGCAGTAAAGAAAGGAATATACAGGGTGTCTCAAAATTATATTAGTTTTCAGTTTCTACTGGGAATAATTGAGCCGTTTATTTTGAAAGTGGCATAAGTCACTTTTTCAAAAAAATCGAGTTAATGGTAATTTCAATTACAATTGAACGGCTCAATTTACTAAGATGAAAATTTAAATACCTTCTTTACTCGTTGCTTAAGCTTGTTGAAATTTGGTATAAGTAGACATTACGCAGAGTGATTGCTGAGGTCATTTTCAGTAACTTTTTCCTTAGCGAAAATGCAATCCGCGGCTTCGTTTGCGAGTTATTAACGAAAAACAGCGGCCAATGAGAGGCGAGCTCGTCAGTGAGAGCCGCCTAGCGCTAGGCGGCCGAGCCAATCAGCGGAACCGGGCTTCGCCCGCTCGTTGGCTGCAGCGCCGCGCGCCAACCGAGCTCGCCTCTCATTGGTCAACGTTTTTCGTTAATAACTCTTAAACGAAGCCGCGGATTGCATTTTCGCCCAGGAAAATGTTACTGCAAATGACCTCAGGAATCTGATTTCCCTGATTTCTCAGAAATACTATAATTTTGGGACACCCTGTATTTTGCAAAGCCGCGGTCCGCGAACTGATCCATGAAATCGGCACCTCGGCGACGATTAATCGGAAGAGAACCTTTTTACGAGAATTCTTCGTTATACAAGGAACGCGCGAGCCTCCGCATTTATAGCCTCGTAAATTCTTTTCGGTTATCTTTCCGTCACTTTCATTTTACTCGGCTAGAGTTTCTGTCACGGTGCATCCGACCCGCGCGAACGGACTCGACCGTTTGCAAGAATTATGCATTCATGGCATTTTTAATATGCTGCCACACTCGGTATAATAAACACCCGAAAAAAAATTCAGCGGAAGTATTATTATTTTCGGGATAGAATGAAACCCGTTCATTCTCGATTCCAATTTCTATGAATTCATCCGTGAGAACGTATATCTAAGCAAAGATTCGCAGTCTGGAAATATTATAGTATAATTATACTTATTCGTTATTACCTATTAGGTATTCCATCGAACGTCACGATTTTATTTGGTACCGAGTTCATTAGCTTTGGACCGGAAACTTCATTTAACAACTGCATAAAAATTGCTAATTCTAGAAGTGCTCATTAATATATTCTGAGCTATCAGTTCCATTAAAAACTGTGACTTTTAAGGATTATATTAGATCGCATATTAAATCGTTCCATAATTTCCGTCGCATTTCTGATTGTTTGTAGAAGAATTTACCGAATTACTCTTTATGGAATTATATTTAGAAGAAGTTAAGTATTAAAAATAACAACAAGTCAATTAGTATCAACTGTTTGAAATAATTCATTTCGAACCGTTATTATCGATACTGTTATTTGAAAATAAAAATAATATATCGATCCATTTGAAATAATAGCAATATTAAATATCGAATTATTATTTCAAATATATGAATTATTTTTTATTTCAAATATAGACAGTAGAAAATATTATCCTGAAAATATTACGCATAAAAAATACTTTACATTAAAAAGTCTTTAAACAATTTACTTTGAGTACAATTTTTTTCTTCAAAAAGTTTATCCTCAAGAGAGATGTTTGTTTAGTGAGTTAGTAAATGATCGTTCCACTGGTGCAGAAGATGGAAGAAGGGCGTCATTCGTCACAGAAATGTTTCTTATTATCGAAAAATCGTTCGATATAGCTCCTAATTAGATCAGCATATAATTTGCAAGAATAATTTCCCACTTATCGCAAATAATCATTTCAAATGATGTTATTTCAAAAGTAATCACAGAGGAATACAAGTAATTACGAAATAAGATAGCATTTAGATAGTACTAATTAGTAATAGTAGTTTTAAGTAGATAGTAATTATGAAATAAGACAGCAGTTACTTGAAATTATATTTCAAGTATTGGCATCTTAAATGTGATCAGAGGCATCGAAATAATTATGAAATAAAACAACATATTATTTGAAATAACATTTCAAACAACGTTCTTCCAAAATAACCCCAGAATGAAAACAATTATAAAAAGATAACACGTTAATAGAAATAACAAATCAAATATTGTTATTCGAAAAATGATCGCATTCATGGAAACAATTACGAAATAAGATAACACAAGTTTTAAGTGAAATAATATTTCAAACAATGCCATTTCAAACGCGTCCAGTTCTGCTCGGACCTAGAGCCGCCGAACAGAAATAGCAATGTTCCCGAGCGCATCGACTAATTAGAAAGAAAATTTTTCAGCCGGTTCTATTCTACCGTGACCATGGAACCGTTTCGGGCGGCCATTAATAGTTTGACAAATCGACTGGTTGCCTCGTGAAACACGTCCGGAACAGCTAAGTGGTCCTCGACCGGGCAGCGGAATTCGATTTCGAACTGCCATCGAGCGACCGCCGAGAATCTTCGAAACAATTAATCTCGACTCGCGTAGGAATCGCTCACCTTCGGGCTGATGGGGCGCGTAGATGTTCAGGTAGAGGCAGTCCTCGCTCTGGTTCTTCAGATAGGGCAACAGCATCTCCAGGTACTCGTACCGGACCGGCTTCACCTCGTCCCGCAGCTTCGGCACCACTTGCGGGCAGACGGGGGCGAATTCCAGGGATTGTCGCACGCCCCTCCAGGGCTCCGGTGATCTCGGTGGTGAGAACCTTAAGGATCCGATCGGCGACTCCGCGTACGGCACTCCTGGAACATCGAGTGACGATCGTGATTGTCAATTGGTAATTGGTTTCGGGCGTAGCGGCACGGGTCAGCCTTCGGCGAGAGTTCGAAAGGCTCCTCGGCTTTGCCGAGAGTTTACGCTGCTTTTAGATCGGATTGTGAACGAGATTCTTTTCGCGCTCGTGCTTTCAGATGTGCTACCGGCTGATTGGTGACGAACGAATTGGATCCGAATGAATTCGGATTTATTATTGAATTATTATTATATTATTATAATAATATGTGTAATATAATTATATGATACAGGCGGGTTCCTCGAATCATTTGAAGCAACTTCTTCCTTTACAAAAATGTTCTCCGAGGCACCGTTAACGAGTTATTAACGAAAGAAGCCCAGCGCAAGAAGCCCAGTTTTGCTCATTGGCTCGGTCGCCTCGCGCCAGCTGAGCTGGGATTCGACCGCTCGACCGCTGGCGCCGTTGGCTCGGCCACCTCGCGGCAGCTGATCTCGCCTCTCATTGGTCACTGTTTTTCGTTAATAACTCGTTAATGGTGCCTCGGAGAACATTTTTGTAAAGGAAATTGTTGCTTCGAATGACCTGAGGAACCCGCCACTTTCGGATTGCGAGACATTTTTGGGACACCCTGTATATTAGTATACAATTATATAATATATTATTATATAATTATATAATATATCATTATATATTATAATATTATTATTATATAATTATATATATACATATATATTAGTATATGTTGAAAAAGAAACTTTTTAGCCTCGGACAAAAATTAATCTATAGTTTACTTTGGACTGAGATTCGAAAATATCAGATTACGTTTCCGCCGGTTCCGTGAACGCGCAGCGACGGTGATGTAAACTGTATATCTAAGATACCGCGATGTGACAATAGTATATAATTATAACACTTGTAAGTCAAGTTTATTTTTCAATTAACTTTTTATTGATTTGTTGTAACTTCTTGGACGGACTATAAAAGTTATAAATCTCGTTTATTACATAGTATATGCTATGATGTGTGTTATAAGAAATCTTTGATACATGAATACATGTATCTAAAATCTGCTTTAAAAAAATACAATTTTATACATCTTGTTAGCGGAACGTGAAATATACCGAAAACAATTCAATCTGCTTACAAATAAATAATTGATAATGCTTTCTTAAGTATGATTGGAAAAGTTATTTAATGCATCTTAATTTTTTACTATATTTGTTATAAGTACGAATAAAAGAATAACAGTAATACAGAAAAGGTTGCAATTCATGATAGTACTGGAGAACGATTTCGTCATAATGCATAACGAATTGCAAATATCAAGTAAAAATTCATACCATCTCGAAATCACAAGTTTTCTTTTCTCAGATTGTTCTTAAGACGTTTCACGAAAACTTCGAAATCGATTTTCTAGAAATTGCTTATGTGTCTTCCATCCATGAAATGCTTTAATTACAGTTTTTTCAAATATAAATCATATATTATTGCCAAAATTTTACTACGGTAAAATAAGGAAGTCGCACATTTTAGTACTCTCTCCACTCGAGCGTGTCCGTTCTCAAAACGAGTCATTGGCGACTCTGGCACAGTACACGGAAGGTTAATTGAGTTACTAGATAGCTGATAAGCGAAATAAAAGATATACGTGGCCACCAGCCATTTTACCGGCTCTTAAAACAGGGAATTACAGTAGTTCGATTAAGCCCGATCCCGAGGAGGGTTCTTAATTATCCCTGCCGAACCAGAAAAACCCGAGACAACAGCTGCGAGGGGGGCGGCCGGAGGGCGTCCCCATTTAACTTCTCCGATGGCCAATCAAAGTTTTTCAAGGTCGTTCCAATTTCCACGCGAGCGATCCATACGTTTTTAATCCGGCCGCGGCGCCGATCCGAATCAAGCCTTTCGATTTGCGCCACCCACTCAGACAAGCCGCGATTTAATATTTTACGTAGGAGCCTGCTCGGCCCCGGGAATCCAATTTACCCCGGAATTGGATAAAATGGATCGGCCGTGATACTTGCCGCCAAGGTGGAGCGTGTTAACACGGATGCCGGACCCAAGCCCGATCAATTTAATCGATCGGTCGGGTCGCGCGCGCGCGCGCGCGTCTCCCGATAGGACTTTACGGTGATTGCCTGCACGATGATTCACGTCGGATCATCTTTCCGGTGACCCTTTTTCAAGAACAAACTCTCAAGAACTCTCTCTCACTCTTTCACTCTCTCTCACTCCCTTTCATTCTCTCTCACCCTCTCTTACTCTCGCATTGTCTCTCACTCTTTCACTCTCTCTCTCTCTCTCACTCAATTTCACTCTCTCTCACTCTCTCATTCTCTCTCACTCTTTCACTCTCTCTCACTCTCTCTCTCGTTCTCTCGCGCTCTCTCCCTCACTCTCTCTCACCCTCTCTGTCGCTCTCTCTCGTTTCTCTCACTCTTTCTCGCCCTCTCTGTCGCTCTCTCTCGTCTCTCCCGCTCTCTCTCACTCCCTCTCGCTCTCTATCGCGCTCTCTATCTCGTCTCTTTCACTCTCTCTTTCTCTCTCTCTCGCTCTCCGTCTCTCTCTCGCTTTCTCTCGCGCTCTCTCACTTTCTCTCGCCCTCTCTGTCACTCTCTCTCGTCTCTCTCACTCTCTCTCGCCCTCTCTGTCGCTCTCTCTCGCCCTCTCCGTCGCTCTCTCTCACTCTCTTTCGCGCGCTCTCTCTCGTCTCTCCCGCTCTCTCTCTCACTCTCACTTTCTCACACTCTCTCACTCTCTTTCACTCTCTCTCGTTCCTTCATTCTCTCTCACTCTTTCTTTCTTTCTCTTTCTTTCTCTCGCCCTCTTTCTCTCTTTCTAGTCCGATCAGAGAATTCCGAGATGACATATTGAATACTGAACACAACGGGTCGCGAATGCGAAGCAGCATATTTTCTTCGATCGCATTCTTTACCAAATATATAGCGACTCGTAAGTGTTGCTATGTCTGCTACATCGGATGAAAATATGATATTTCGCCGAACGTGCTTCTTCTTACGCTCGACTGCTCGGTCTTTGTATGCGTGTCGCTTGATCCGCTTGTACTCATTTTTATTAACACTAGGTTTACGGATCACCGAAGACAACTATTTTATATTACTTTATATCGCTGATAAGAACGTACAACGACTCGTATTAATGTTCGGACAACTTCCAAAACGGAATAACTTTTTTTAAATCATCCCTTGCATGCTGGAACGATTTCACATATTTCAAAACTCCGCTACAGGTTATCGCTTCTATTAAATTTTGCTGTATCGAATTCGATAATATTTCAAAGAGTACATATATCGTTTCCGCGAAATCAAAATATCAGCGAGACAGGTTCGACGAGTACATTATTTGAACAGCGAGATTTAAATAGAAGGTACTAAATTATTTGTCACAGCGTGAACTTGGCGTTTTTTATTTAGAAACTCTGGAATAATCATTTTAAGCGAAGAATGACTTCCGTCAATTATCTTCTCTTATCTCCGTTAATTATCCTATCTTATTTCCATCAATTTATTTTCCATCTTGAAGACAGTTCTAAAACCTGCGTCACCCATTTAGGTGAAACGCTGTGTTACAACTATTCGTGGACTAATGAATTCATGAATCGTATATTTGAACGTTGACGCCGAGCCAATTAAACCAGTTCGAAAATGAAGAGAGTCAAGGAAGGGAAAACTTGTGTTCAATTATGCACAGCGGCCGCCTATTCAATAATTTAACCCGAGAAAGATAACCTACGTCGCAGAGGCGCCTGCGAAGACTGTTGATTTTTGTTAATTTTTCATAGAGGTCTAGTGATTTAAGTTTAAAATTACTTAAAATATAAAAAAATATAATATAAATGCATTTTATTTTTACAATAATGCCAAACCTTTAAAATGACTAGATTAACTTAAATAAATATCCATTGTTAGTATAAAATTGACGCCTTAGAAAAGCATGCGCCTCTGAAGCGTATGGTTATCTTTTACGTACGTTGTCATATGGTTATCTTTCTAGGGTTAAGGCCGAATGGAATGCTCGCGGAACGCGCAGCATGTTACTTTTAACCCCTAGACTACGGTGGGCGCCCATAGGCGCTTAGGAATTTTGCGTTTGTGACACTCGGAGCGCCTATAGGCGCTCGATGCAGTTTTGTTTTCTGACACGGAGGGCGCCTATAGACGCCCAGAAAATTTTATCGATATTTATTCCGATAGATCTTATCTCAGTTAGACGAGAAAAAGGTTTTACGATAATATTAAATTTGTAACATTTATAATAATTCGATTCAGAGAAATAAATAATATTGTTTTAATGTAGTGAAATTTAGTTTTTTAACCCTTTCGCTACGGCGGTTCAGTCCGCCGTAGCGCCCCTCCTGAACGGAACCACCCGCCGAAATTGTGCACATTGCGCGTGGATAGTGTATTTGGGAAGAAAAGGGATTTTTCTTTAAAACAATATAGTTATCATTTCTGCATAAGGTATAAAGTTATTTAATAGGTAAAAAAAGTTTCATTAACAATGGAAAAAGTGAAGAAATAATATATAATATACAGTAATAAAATAAAACATAATATTCATAATACAAAACATAATACATAATAATTAGTCCTAAAGTTAGTACTTTCGATTTTCTATCCCTTTATGAC